GGGAGGGAGGGGTTGAGTAGAAAGAGTAAGGTTGGGATTGAGTAAAAAAGGTGAAGGGCATCTAAGGGGGGGGGACACGTAGAAAGGGCATCCGAATTGTAGGAGGAAGTGAAGGAGAGGCGGAGGTTGCTATAAGGCGCCTACGCCATTCCGTATCCCTCAGAGCATTCTCGAATGGCAGTGAGAAGACGATCACGTAGCTGTTCGTACGAAGTGTAGGCTGGAAGCTCCAAAGTGTTAAAGCTGAAGTGGACAGAAATATCAATGCAATAGCAGGCTAAAAGAAATCATTTTGACTTCACCACGTTTCTATATATGGAATGAGCAATATATAATCGCGTCGAAAAAAGTTCACAATACAAGTGCGCAAGGGAGTTACTCATTTAGGCAAAAAATATACAATTTCATCAAATACCTTCAGTGAATGTAGTGGGGCACTGTCGCAAGCTCTTAGTTAATCCCAACTTCTATTCTATCCGCCATTTTTACCCTTCGCAAGCCCTCCAACCTCTAGAATATTTGGACCAAGAAGTAGAGGGCGCGAGAGAGGAAGTGATCGACTCCTCATGATCCCCTAAAGTAGCAAGGAAGTTCAACTGAGTATAACCCCATCCCCTCCTCCCACCTCCTCCTCCTCCATTTTGGACTAATGAACACTGTGCCGACAAGTTTGTTAACCTACTTTCTCCTATTCTTTGGTTGTAATGAGCTTGGTAATGTGTCTACTCGAGCACTTTGGAGAGGGAGAAATGTAAATACACTTTGCTTCTGGCGACATGTGTCAGGGAAATAAGAATGAAAATGCAAAAGACGTACCATGTATGAGCAGACGGAAGATGACTAGTGCTAGAGATAGAGGCACGGCTAATTGTGAACTTTGTTGGACCATGCATCCCCTCAAGATTTTTGAAACCTCCCAGAGGAACTCGGCTAGTTCCAGTAACGAATTGAATAAATCTCGCACGATCCTCCTCCTCGAAAGACTCCATGGCCTTCCAGAACCACAGAATCTGAGGTGCAGTGAGTTCGTATTTATTGTAGCATGTATTACTTCGTAGATCCTCAAGATCGATTTTGGGCAGACCCGATATGAGGAGTTCCAACTCCTGCTCGTTGAAGATATTGATCCAACTCTTCGAGATTATAGAATAGAAACCCTTGAGGAAGGCATTCAGCTGCGGTCGAATAGATTCAGTCATTTTCTGATGGCACAAAAGACGCACGTACTCCTTCTTATTCTCATCTGTTACGACGATGTTTCGACCGTTTTCGATCAAGTCAACTGTTTCACTACGACCATATTCATTTCTCTACAAGGGAGTGGGGAAGAGGAGAGAGGGTTGAATTAAAAGCATGAATTGTGAACTGCTTTGTTAAAAGGAAACTGTCAGAAACTTGCCTCTGTACAGAATGTCACCTCGTAGTTGAGCTCTGCAATGCGGTGATTAAGAAGGAAGTCCAATCCCTTGTAGAACTCGTAATCTTCACTTTCAAGATCTTGGAATCTGGAGAAAGTAAGTGTAAAGATCAGTGGTCAAAAACATCTCACTCTGACGTCTTTTTAACCCTTAGGCAGGTGATCAATGTACCAGAAAATTACTTTCTAAAGACACTGATGGCTAAGATAACACCACGAATCTTGGCACTAAATGCCTGGCTAATGCATAAGTGCGCAAGAAAAACAAGTGAAAACTCCTTAACTCCATGGACATACTATTGACCTAAAATAAAAAAATTCATTCTACCTCATGAATAAATAAATAAATAAATTAGTTCTATTGCTTCAGGAGAGTGCCAATTTGTGGAATCGAAATAAGCTGAGATCTTACCGAACTTGTTTTCCAAGGATGTGTTTGTAGAAGGATCTAGTAAAGTAGCATTCGAGGTGTTTGTTGTCATAGATTGCCTTGGCAATGAAGCGACCAACGAATTCGAAGTAAGTTAAGTGGTTGCTATTAACACTGGATGCTGGATTAATCGAATACGTGACACGATCCGAAGGCGAGACACTGAAGAGCCCGTACATGGGATTAAATATCTCCCGACTCATTAGTAGGTACCACTCTCTCAACAAACCACCAGCATCTTGACCTTCCTCATCTGAAACAAAAGCAATATGAAAACCGTGGGTTCCAAGTAAAAGAGGGAGACAAGTAGATGAGAAAGGGGGGGGGGGCGGAGAGAACAACTCACTTCGGAATTGAATGACAAATCTCTTCTTCCAATCACGGGCAGTTTTAGCGTGAAGACGAGCAAAGCTGTCCTCAAATATCCTGTTGCGGGATATTGTAATGTGCTCTTCTTCTTGTCTAAGTTGTTCCGACCTCATCGACTCGAAGAGAGAAAGGAGGAATTTTCTCTTGACGTCAAAGTCCAGAGACTTGGGATAGGACAGGAACACTGAGAGGGCGGACTCACTGATGTTGCTATTGTGTTTACGCAGAATATGATTCAATCCAACACGGTGTTTCTCAGCAAACCAAGCAATCATGTCGATTGGTTTTTCCTGAAGGGCATTCGGATCGGGAGAAAGAGGTCGGAAAGCGTCAACAGATGGACTAGCACCAGACGAGGAGTCGGATCGTGGTTCTTCAGGGAGCCCATTGAAAACGATAACGTTCTGGCTATCCAACATGGGTAAGTTCATGCTTCTAGGAAGAGAGTTTTCAGTCCAAGTTGTTGTGAAGTTCCTGCGTTGGAGTTGAGCTGGCAAGATTCGACTGCTGTTTGAGATAGTGGCTTGGGTATGATTGGCGTGAGCCAAGCACATACATTCAACAAGAGGTTGGAACAACCGGATAGTGTTTTCACCTGTTCCTTGAAGTGCATCCAAAACATCTGAGAGACGTTTCCATAGGGTAGAGAGAATCTCAAGAGATCGAAGAGATACTTCTGGACAGGAGGAAAGATACAGCATGAGCTTGAGGATTTTACAAAGACGGGACTGTTCGCTTCGCATGGAGAAGAGAGGCTGGAGAGTTGCCAATTCCAGCTCTCTCGAAGAGGTGGTGGGTGAAGGAACAGGACTCGACAGAGCTCTTGAGGTAGAAGGTCCAGCCGCAACTTCTGCATAAGAAGGAGCCATACGAGTCATAGAATCTGAGTGATGAAGATGTGTTTGGCCGTCTCCATCATGCAGACGTCGTTTAGAATTTGGTGAAAGTCTATTGACCTCATCAATGACATCGGTGAGCTGCTGTTCGATAGTCCTCGCCAGATTGCTCGCTCCAGCAGCCAAGAGATCAAATAAGGGCTTTTTCGCAGTCTCATCAACACGTGTCATGAGAACAATCAACCATGTTACAAGAGTTCGAGTCTGCTCTGACGAATTTTTCGATAACACAATTTCAGAAAGGTCGTGAATAATGCTACCAACGAGCGGAGTGATGATGGGCACAGGCGGCTCTTGATTAGGAGCAGGATTCTGTCGAGTTCGAATCTTGTGATATTCATTAAGAATTCGAACAAGAAGGGAAATTACACGCTCCTGAAGCACTGGACGAGACCTTACAACTGGATGTTGCAAAAATTCCACTATATTCACATAACAATCGTAGGAATTGAGAGCGGTATTTGTTTGTGGATCTTCCATAACACTACTCTCAGATGGAGCATGTGATCTGCTTGGATGATGTCTTCCCGAAGAACGAATTCTAGATGGACTAGTTGACTTTCGAGAGGAACTAGAGGGAACCACGTCGCAGGTTGTTTGGACGGTCATTCGTGCGACAATCTCCCAGAAATCAGTTTCCATTTCAATGCCTGATTCCTGAGGTGTTTCATTAGTAGAAGGCACAAATTGGGTGAGATTGGCATTAGAAATATCGTAGAGAACATCAAGAAGGGAGAAGCAGACGTTCTGAGAAGCTTGAGGGTGAATTTCAAAATTGTTAGTGGACGGATTAACCTGAATATTCTGCACAAAACTGCCAGTAGGTCCTTCGAAACCGGACCCAAAAATAGAGGTATTTGAATTAGTACTAACATTACTTTGTGGAGAAATGGAGGAATCAGAGAGTCCCTTTACTATGTTGAAGATGGTTGAGATAATCCAACGGCGAGTGGGTACATGAGCACAGAGGTTCTCAATAACTCTCTTAACAGTAACGTACGTCGATCGGCGAAAATCGGGAGAGCCAGAGCAGGCAATAACCATGACAAAAATACACGAGAGGCCCTCATGGTCAACCAAGGGTTTCCACTTAGCTGGTGTCGAACTCATAAGCAAATCGAGCGAATTAGATGCAATTCCAGAAGCACGAGTTCCCCCACGAACTCCGCGCCCATTTCTACCAACGAATTCGGTAGGATGGTTGGCACGACTTGGACCAAAGAAAGCGGGAAACATTACACTCCCAAAGGAACGAACTTGATTCTGATTGCCATGCCCAATATGAAGAGGATTAGCTTGAATGTGAGCGTGGCGTTGACTGTGAGCTTGACGAATTTGTCTTGCTTCGGCCTGCAAGTCCGGTGAGAGAGCAGCCAGCTGAGCATCATCCATATCAGCGAGGACTTCGTGTCGGAGTTGCGGGGGCATGGCGCCGAATAGTTCGTCGGTGGTAATGGGAGGACCGGTATCATTCAAGACCATAGCAGTGCGGCGATAAACCTCCAGGACTTCCTCTTGCAACTCGGGAGGTAGACTAGCAAAAACAGTCTGGTCAACATCGGCAGGGACATTGCCACTTATGGCGGAATGGACGCGAATGCTGCGCTGATGATCATCCAACAATTCACGACGTAAGTCGGGAGGAAGGGCATCGAGGAAAGAGGGGTCCACACCAGAAGCGACCATTGAGGCGATTATCTCATCGTCTGTGACGGGAATGCGAACCTGTTCAACTGGTAAGGCAGTCGCCGCCTCAGGCTGCTCAGTAGTTGCAGTTGCAGTTGCTGTTGCAGTTACAGTTGAAGGACCGGGTACAGGAGCTTCTTGTTGCTCCAAAGGTGCCAGTGCTTCAAGTTCATCAGCAGTTGTAGTTGCAGGTGCCTCAACATTGTCTGAAATGAGAGAATATACTACAATGTGATTTTGGTGCATCTCTCCTCAAAAAGGTTCACATTAAAAAGGGCAATTAATTATAAATGCAGATAACTGGAGGCATGATAGAAGCGCGCTTTATTGACTGAATAACAAATGCCAATAGGACCCCCCCCCCCCAAAAGAACCCCAAGTAGGAAATAATTTAGGACACTGTTTTATGCGTCTAAATGACAGCAATGACGCTTAAAAAGCGGGCACATCTAAGATCCACTACATCATTCTGAAAAATAAGACGATAACTCAAAGATAACAAGTGAGTATACACAGAGAACAATAAATGAGTTTGCAAGTCCAACATTTCCAGTTAATTCTTGATTAAAAAGAAACGTTAAACGTCTCAAATATTTGTAAAGAAACTATCATCGAGTGTTCATAATTCAAATGGACAAAGAACCATAACAAATGATTTCCAATCGTTTCATAGAAATATATTTTTTCGACTTCATTTTTAATAAATACCAATGTCATCCTGACCATATTACTGCTCGATCTATGATTGCGATGTTAGAACTAATTTAATGCATAAAAGTAAACATTGCAACCTCACTGATTAGTCAAGCATCTGGAATCAGCTTGAACCGAAAACGCAATCCGGTCTAATACAGAAAGCCATAGAACTGCGTTACAAATCGATCATACCAAACGTCTCTCTACCCATGAACCCATTAGCAGACACTGATGGAGTTTCTCTCTCACCATGAACCCATTAGCAGACATTGATGTAGTTCCCCATGAACCCATTAGCACCTAACTGCTTGACCACTTCAGGAAATCAAACACCCTTCCAGAACAAATGCGCTCACTGGCCCTTGAGACAATCAATGTCAACTATCCTGCAGATCAATGGCTCCAAGTCTTCACTGATGGGTCATACATAGAAAACCAAGCAAACATTGGTGCAGGTGTCTACTCTGAACCCTCCTCTTTCTACGCAGCAGCGGGACACAATAGATCCGCTTTCGAAGGAGAAATAGAGGCCATTAGGATAGCAATATGCCAATTATGTTGCCTGGATACGAAATTCACCAAAGCGGAGATACTTTCAGACTCACAGTCAGTGATAAACTCTACTGGAAACAGAGAGCCACCAAAAAGAGCTGAGATAAAGGAATATAGAAAACTCTACCAGCTGCTGAGAGAAAAACAAAACAGTGGTCCTACAATGGATTCATGGACACTGTGCCATTAAAGGCAAAGAGCTTGCTGACGCTCTTGCTAAGGGGACAACAATTTTACAAGGTATAGACCGGTCGATGTCTTTCCAAACAATGAAGACCTTAATCAGGAGAGAATTCAAGACCTCAAGGTGCAACGAACTTAAAGCTCGAACAAAGGAGAAACAATGGATCATCGAACTTAAAGCTCGAACAAAGGAGAAACAATGGACAGTGGCACTCTCCGATATAACCGACTGGCCAGGAATCGAAGCCGTTGCCGACTGGCCAAGAATCGAAGCCGTTGCTGAGTTTAACTTTGGCCAAGAATCGAAGCCGTTGCTGAGTTTAGACTACGTACCGGACGGATTGCCTGGCAAAACACCTTCAAAGATTGGGAGTATACAGTCAAGGTGCAACGAACTTAAAGCTCGAACAAAGGAGAAGCCGTTGCTGAGTTTAACTTTGGCCAAGAATCGAAGCCGTTGCTGAGTTTAGACTACGTACCGGACGGATTGCCTGGCAAAACACCTTCAAAGATTGGGAGTATACAGTCAAGGTGCAACGAACTTAAAGCTCGAACAAAGGAGAAATGGGGCAACGAAATTAAAGCTCGAACAAAGGAGAAACACACTCTCCGACATAGCCGACTGGAAGAGAATTCAAGACCTCAAGGTGCAACGAACTCAAAGCTCGAACAAGGGAGAAATAGTGGACAGTGGCACTCTCCGAAATAGCCGACTGGCTAAGAATCGAACAGTTGACACTCTCCGACATAGCCGACTGATCAAGAATCGAATCCGTTGCTGAGTTTAGACTGCATACCGGACACGATTGCCTGGCAAGGCACCTTCTATGCGACTTACAGGAGGAAATGGAGAAGACCCACTTGGTTCAGTGTCCAGCCCTAAAGACAACGACGGAAACCCAGAGATACTGGGGAAGCCAGGAGACAACTAATGAACTGTTATATATGTTCCCCCCCCCCCCCCCCCCCC